CACTCTAAACCAAAAAGCGAATTATTTTTTTTAATATTTTTCATCCTTTATCTAATAAAAAAAAACCCATGCATCCATCATATTTTGTACCGAGTTAAGCTTTGCAATCTCAAATTTAAAAAGAAAAAAAAACTTAGAGGGTATATGGTTCATTAAAAAAACGCTTTTTAAAAGCGCTTTCATATAGTTTGAAAAGATAATGAGGAGTGCGAATAATTTGACTGGATATTAATAATGTTAATAATAATATTAATACATGAAAAGGCAGGGGGACAAGTAAGGCTAGAGTTTTTAATGATCCCCCAAAACCACCACCATGTGATTGTGGGAAGGGTCATCTCATCACCTTGGAACTCTCCACCCTTGCCTTCATATCTATCCCTCTCAAGTCGTCATCATTACGCTTTTAATTTTATTATATATTTTATACTCCCCCGTCCCTCCGTTTTTATCTTTCTCGTTTTGATTTAAATTTTAATTTTTGTTTCCAAATGTAAGTCATCTTTTTAAATTTTAAAAATGTAATTATTCCTTATTTTTAGTTAAGATTCAAACAATCTAACATTAAACAGAGAATAAAATTAAAAATAATTATTATATAATATATAAATTTTATTTTTTATTTATGTGTTCTTTTGTGAGGATAAATAAATAGAAATAGAAGAAATACTATCAAATGTGCGTGACAACGTCATTACCCTATCTGCTTGATAAAAAGAAATACTACTTCCGATTTTAACTATAAATGTTGTTTGTTATTTATAAATGAAATCTTATAATTAAATCAGAAATAGTAATTAATATTACACAGCTAAACGCTGGTCGGGAGATGAGAAAGTTTTGGAAATCAATGGAAAACTACAAAAGAAATTGAAAAATGGAAAAAGAAATCGAATAAACTTCACATGTACACATTTGAATATTTAAATATCGTTTTCTTTTTTTTGCCAACAATTTAAATATCATTTTCTACAAAAGCAGCAAGCTAACACATATTTCTAAACCAACAAACCAGACCGAATTTTCATGCATTTGTAATAACCATTGAAAGTCGTCACATGCCCAATTTTTGAAAAGAAAATATGTTAATTCCGCGTCCTTAAATAAAATATTATTTTTTACCAAAAAAATATTATTTGAAATATACTCTCTCATTTGTATATAATGGGTGAACTATTATTAAATTAATAATTTTAATATAAAATATGAAATATATTGCAAAACATTACTAACACCTATAAGTGCCAGTAATATTTAAAAGGCCGTGCAATATAATAATGCACACTCTAGATCTGGTTATATATTAGTATATTGACAATGTCACATAATTAAAGGAATAATAGTGTAGCAAATTTGGGAAACAATGTGCTGGTAGGTATACTCCATGTCTTATATAGCTTCTAAAGTTGAGAGCAAATAATTGTATAGGCCTATGTTTTGATAGGGATCAGGGGCAGCAAAGTTGGTGGATTAATCTTTGATATTTTATAAATATTATTAGTATTATATCTCAAACTCTGGCTTAAAAAAAAAATTGACGTGGGTTCCTCGAATTTTATGTTAGTTTTTATCATTTTTATTTAAATAAAATATAAAGCATTTAAAGAGATTGTTGAGGGCTAAAACTAAAATCCTAGTAAAAAACATTAAAAAAAATACTCATGTTTAGTATTTTCATAAAGTTTTGTGATGGCCGCAGAAGGCAGGGTCCTTGTTGCCACTGTAGACATATTGATCGAATCAAAGGTAGGTATGATAAATTAGCATTAAATAAAATCAGTTGCATTTAATGAATGTCACTGTTTTTGCCCTTTTTAATATTACAGGCTTGGTAATTGATTGACCTGGGTCTATTCATATAATAAATAAATTAATTTGGCCACTAGTGTAAGGCCACATGCATGCATGAAACGCCTCCTTCTTTTCACAAAGTTAAAAGTTTGGAACTTTTAAGAACTTTTAGACACGCTCATCAACTTCTTTCTGCGGTGGTTAGAAATGATCAATTTTTTGTTTAGCAAAAGTTGATCTTAATTAATGTCTCCTCATTTGATTGTGAAAATGGCAAAGGGAACCAATCAAAATGGACAGCTCACTGAAAATCTACCAGACATACCCTTTTTGATATACTTATTATTTCGCCAGTGTTAAAAATAAAATTTTAAATCTTATTAATTGTGTCCTCAAATTTAATTTTTTTAATATTTTAATATATTGATTCCTTGATTAATAAATAAATGGTATGATTGTAAATAAATAAACAAAAACCCTTTTTTTTATCTTATAATCAGGATTGGAGAGATATTAAAGTATACTAGTATTTGATATCACAACAATTCATTCATTCCATAAATTTAATAAATTAAATTGTGATTTATGGAGAGTGTTGATAACCACATAATTCTGGAGATGTGAAAATTCTTCCATGTGCTCCCGTGTCGATAAGCATGCTCTTGACCCCGCAAAAAAAAAAATGTAGCTAATTAATTCGAGAATTTATTCCACGGCTTTTTAAGTTATTCTGGAGAGATATGATTTTATGTGAGGAATTCACACAAACTCAAGAGAAGGTGGTCGAACTGTGCACTACCACACTATATTCCTCTTATCCTATTTATAACGTAGAGAGATAAAGTTTTTTTATCCTATTTATAAGTCACTTCATTAAATTTTTAGTATGAATATACTATTTTGTCTTTTATTTATTATAGTGTAGATAGTTATTCTTTTGAAAGGTGTATATATTAAATGAGGGTAAAATTAGAAAATTGTTATATTTTAATAAAGAGTTAATGCAATTTAAAGTTTTCTTTAGTCTGTATAAAATATGTTAAAAATACCTTATAAATAGAACCAGATAAGTACTCTTTAAGCTGATTAGGAGAGATTCACAGGTCATACTTCTAATAATGGATATTGCACTATAAATATGGCTCCATTTGGCAGGCACAAATGAGAATACTTTTTTATTTCATCACATAAAATTCAAAATATATATAATATTTAATTATACTCCTATCATCATTATTTGATATTATCTGTCTTAATCATTTTTTAAATCTACATATGTATGTGTGGGAGACATTTTTTGTATGCAAAATTATTTTTTCTATTTCATTTTTTATTTTAGGTGCCAAATACGAGTGTGTATGTGTATGTGTATGATTCATGGTCTATGCGTCAGAGCTCTTGTTGTGCAATTGTTGCACTACGGTACATAGTGCTATTTTGTCACACACTACTCATATCTTAAATATAAGATTTTTTTGTAATGTAAATTACACTACAAAAATGGTTTTATATTTAGAACCAGAGAAGTATATAATTACTACGTCTAGTCCTAATGATAAAACCTCGTTTATGGATTATAAAAAAAGTCTTATAATTACGACTGAAATAGTATTATTCTTTCTTATATGCAAACAGTAAGAGAAAATATGAATTAATGTAATGTTAACAAGATTAATATTGAAGATTACTAGAGTTTTATAACAGGTTTAATATGTTTAACTGTTTTATTGGCACGTGCCAATTATTTTTTAAAAAATTAAATTTGGAACGTGAGAGTGATAGCAAAAGAATTTAATTCAACTTGTTGGTTGGAAAAATAAAATTGACTAGGAGGTACTAAGCTAACTATTGTGTTACTACCTTGTTGGTTATATATATATATATATATATATATATTTTCCCCTCTTTTGGTAGGCAAATTTTTGAGTGATTATGAGAAGAACCTCCCTCCTTTTTATTTTTTTTTCTTGTCTGAATGATTCTTGTGTAAGAAAAGAAAGTAGGTACAAAAAGTGAGACGAGATTAATTAAGAGAGTGGAGATAATTTTTTTATCCTTATTTATTGTGTCGTTTTCTGACCAAATTCTCCTAAACCTAACATAATTTTAATCCCTCTCCCTACTTTACAAAAATACAAATGTTACAGTATATTTGATATTATTTATTAATCTAAATTCAAACATATTAAATCCCCCAATTTAAATTATTTCAACATGTGATTCTTTTTTCATCTGCAAATTGAACTCTTTTTTTTCCCTCCTTGTTTTAAACTATTATGAATTCATCATTGTATCCATAGAATTTATCAAATAAGTCATACCTCATGGTTAATAAATAATTAAAAAATCCTTTAAGAAATTTAAATCACTCTGTATCACAAACATTTCTCTTTTTTTTGCTTATAAAAAAAACAAACATTTCTTTTTATTTTGATAAATTGTCTTTTTATAAAAAAAAATGTGATATAGTAAAAGTTTTATGTTATACACAGAGACTTAGGCATTATGTCAACTGATTGGTTGATTAAGAAATGGAAAATAAGTCTTCAATACATAATCTCCAGATACAATAGGCAGTTATGAGAGCCAATCTTTGTCCAACTATTTTAGTTGACCTGAAGGCATAATAATGTTATTTATGTACGTTGAAATTTTGCTCCTCAAGATATTATATGCCTTTCTTTTCACCTTTTACTATTTTTAGCTTTAATAACTATTATTTCTTCTTAATTAAAAAAAATCTCAGGCTTCTTAATTTACTTGCAATTTGTTTCTTCTTAATTGTGCATCATGCCCTGATGATTAAATCTTATTAATCTTTAATTAATACGTGCGAAGGGTTCAAACTTTCAAGCCCTTTCTAATAAAAAAAATCGTCTTGAAACATGTCTTTAATTAAAAAAATTTCAAAATCAACCATTCAATTTTTTAAAAATATTTATTTTTCTGGACAAAAATAAAGAAATAATTATTTACGGTATTTTAATTAGATTTTAAATGCATGATCCTTTGTGTGGGTACCTATATATAAAGTATTAGTAATAGTAATTTATACACGAACACGCAAATATGTCTCGTAAAAGAAGAAAGGAATTTGGCCATTAAAAAAATGGGGCCCATCGCTATCATGCGCCTTGGGTCACTATCCCCATCTTCTTTTGCATAATTCGAACCAAAGCCATGCTTAATTTTCCCATTTTATTCCCACTCTCAATTGAATTACTCGCCGATTTTTTATTCCATGTGGCCATCGGAGATTCTCCTCCTTAATCCTTCCGATTCCACGCGCCACCCTTGTTGATCCTACCGCCGGTGACCTTGCTCCGTGATCTCTTCAACACTACTCGGTACTGCCAATTCGGTTCTTCCTTGATCTAGTTTCTCTGCCCCTTTGCCGAGATAGTGAAGGAAACCGATGCTGGAGTGTCCTTCTTTACTGATTTAATTTGATTGAGTATGGAAAGTCAGTTGAGTAAGCCACATGAAAAAAAAGTAGTCAAACTCTAAGTCGTCGTCAGGTCTAAAATCAGCTCATTCAGGGTTTCATTTGTTGGTGCTTTCGTTCGTTTTATTTTGCATTAGAAAGTGCTGCAACTCTCCGGCGATTGCTGTTCTTGGTTGTCGCTGGATTTTGCAATTTCAGTAAATGGGGAGGAACGCTGTGTGAGGAACTGCATGTTAACATTTGATTTAGGCCTGGCTGCGGCGAAGTAGAGATCTTTTTCTTCTGCCTTCATTTAAAGCGATCCCACTGTGATATAGTTGATAGATTCGTTTGTCGGTAAATTAACAGGGATTCATCTTTTGCTCCATTGAATGAATAGGAGCTGATTGAGAAATTTTGTTTTCTTTTCTTATTTGTTGTGAGGATACTGTTGCTTAACTTTTATTTATTCTTTTTTTGTTAAATTTTATTGTCAACTTATGTTGTGAATTCCATATCGAAATGTTTAGAAAATCTCCATGAATTGAAGTTTGTCAGGAGTATTGATTCGCCAAGTTGTTGTTTAGTTTTTTCAAATCAAGAATTTGTTTGCGAAGTTTGGTTTTGGCACATAAAAAATGTGTTATGACTATTTTGCAGAATTCTGTGCTTTTTTGCGTAGAAAGAAAAAATCACTTCCTTCCTGAGCTCATTACCATGATCTTTTAAGCGACACTTTTAACACGTTTTTGGAAATTAAAGATTTGGATGCCGCCTTTAAATGGCTTCAGATTGGGTGTCGGTCTTGTTTTATGGTCTCCTAAATCTGTATCTATACTGTGAGATATGCCTTCACTGTGAGATGTGCATTTTTTCCCCCCTACTAAACTCATTCTATCCTTATACAATACTTTCTTTTTGCTTGAAAGGCTTCAACTCTGGTTTGTTCAAGCAGACAGAGCCACATATAGAAATCTCAAATCTCATGCTGCTTTACTGAACTGCCGATGAGCAGAACTGATGTTATTGGCAGTAGAAGGAGGAGGATTCTTCTCTTCTTCAGCTTCAGGATATAGTAAGGGCCTGACCCTTCTTCTCTTGGGTCAGAGGAGTGAGGATAAACCCATGAGAGTTTCCCCGTGGAACCAGTACCAGTTGGTATACCAAGAATCAGACCCCGAGCTCCAGCTGGCTTCAACAAAGAATCGCATTTCCCGCGGTTGCGCTTCCTTTGCTTGCTTTGGTCGCGCTTCCGCAGGGCTTGAAACACCATCTCCTCTTAAAGTGGGCCCTGCCCAACAGCATGATGTCTCACCAGGGTCCTTGGTTTCTGACAAGGAGCAATCTGTTCATCTTGATAATAGTAATGCTACAAGAAAAATAGCACTTAAAAGTAGCCTAAAAAGGCCACAAGATCATAAGCCAACTCCCATTGAAGCTGCTAATGAACGTGAAGAATCAGGCGGTGAGCGGAGTGATTTTTCTGTTCAAAGAGAGCGCAGGAAAGTGCAGTGGACAGATGCTTGTGGCAATGAGCTCACTGAGATACGAGAGTTTGAACCAAGGTATCGGAGTATTTTGTTTTCCGTAAATGTTTTAGCCAAGAATATTTATATTAATAAATTATCTGTACCAAGTAAGATTTGCTAGTTTACGCTATTTCTAACTTTTCTTTCTTTGTTTAGTCATAAAATGTCGAAAGAAGCATGCTAAAGTTGGCTATTTGAATTACGGTAATTTGACAAATTAATTAAAGGCATGTATTGGATAGTGAAGAAAATATGTATTATGTGTCTAAACCCCTATATTTCATGATCCTGCCTCCTCCTCTGCTTGGATGCGACTATAAGAATGTTGATTTGTGGGTTTGTACTTTTACTGTTCTCCATTTGATTTATTATAGCTTTTAATGATGCTTCCGATGCCACATCTGTTGTTTCTCTCTTAAGCCTGTCTTCTTATTTTTGGTTTCTCCCACTAACGGATAATCTTACTCTTTGCTTGTCAGTGATTACTATTGAATCTAATGATCTTATTGATGCTTGAAATTCTTTATATCTTTGCTTTATGCTCGTGCTTGAACCACCAGAATTTGGATTGAACCATATCATATTGATTCTGAAATTTTGCAATGCCAGTAGCCTTGATAAAGTTCTCGAATCAAGCAATGGACAGAAAGCAAAAGAGAAAAGGGGGGAGATAACTGGTGACGGTAGTAATTGTTCATTTGTAATTTAGGTAGGGAGATCAATTAATATGAGGCGGGCATGATAATTGATCCAACTTCTCTCGTTTGGGCATATTGCTGTTATGATAGGCACTCAAGCTGGGTGGGGAATCTCTAAAAGTTTGATGTTTACACATGAGGACCGCCCTGCTTAAGTAACTTGTCACGCAGTTCATGCTATTCAATGTCAGACTTTAGCATCCCATACCATCCTGGTTCTTATCAAGTTAATAACTAAGGAAAAAAATATCAAAAGAGAAGATGATCCCTCGCTCTTGGGTGGAAGGATTTTAGCTTTGAATGACCGTGGTTTTTGTTCTCAAGTCTTATTTTTGCAATCTCTATTGGATTGGGACATCATTTCATTGATTCTCTCTTGAATATGTTAGGCCTCTTCCTAGTCAAGTGGTCTTAAATGTGGATCGTTTTGGTCAATGGTTAACATTATAGATTTGTTATAGGCTGAGAGTTTAACAAAGCTCTTTTCTTTCATAGTTATCATAAGTTATTCCTTTATATGGGTTCTGTTATTCTGTTATTCGGTTCTTACCTTCCATGTGCTATATTCGTATGGTCCTGTCAAATTAAGGTCCCATAAACACAATCTGTTCTATTGTAGAAGATATATGGTGCTTTTTTATAAGATGCGAACTATCTTAGGATTAATAAAAGTTTAATCACGCAATTTGTGGAATCTGAGTATAAGCTATTCGTTGTTGCATTGTTTATCTACTCGTATATTTTTCCTTTTGGTCATGGCATGGGGCAGAGCAGAAAGCTCTGATTCTTAGTTGGTAGGTTTGGAACTTGAAAGGCTTTGATTTTGTCTTGCAAATTTGGAGTCATTTCTGCGTAGCAAGTTTAGAGATTCTGGAAGGTTTAAGGAAGGAATGTTTAATAGGAAAAGCCTGCCTTGAAGTTTTATATGTCTTTAGTTTGAGATAACTAATGGAATATTTTAGGATAAAATGCTGCTTTTGGTGCATTTAAGGGGCATGATGTTTGTTTTCTTTTTCTTTCCTGGGATTTTTAGATAATTGCTAGTGCTACTGCAACGAGGTTTTTCCGTGATATTACTGGGGAAGGCTTCTTTCTATTGTTGTGGTTTCACCTTGTTGTTTGGTTTTCATTTCTGGCTTTTATAAAGGACGCCTCATCCTTTGCCCTTGTACTCTTATTTCTTTATTTTTCTACATAAAAATAGTGGCTTCATCATGTCCTACTCTTGTTGGATATTTTGGGCAAGTTCTATGTCTTCATACATGTGGATATGCTTGGGCACCACATCTTTAGGTTTTTGGTTGATTCAAAACCCCGTACATTCTTTGGCCAAAAAAAAAAAGAAAAGAAAACCTGTACCTTCTAAATTTTTCAGCCCCTTTGTTATTTGTTACTTGAATGATCTTTGGGAAGCTTCTATATTGATGTGAATTATAATTAGTTGGATTCTTGGTTTATTAACTCGAAATCTTCTTATGTGCAAAAGGATTTGGGCAGCTTTGCCGCATGCTTCATATTTTTTTTCCACCCACTTGCTATTTCGTTTTGATCTGTACGGTGCCTTTCTCATGTGATTTCGGTAAAAGTCAAACGAGGTGTATGTAATATATTTTTCTAAATTTTTCCAATAACCTATGTGTAGTTGATTACTGAACTAGAAATTGTCATTCATCTGCAGTGAAGTGGATGGATCAGATGATGAATTTGACAATGGGAATGACAGAACTTGTTCGTGTGCCATTATGTAAAATTGAATTTCCACCATAAGACGAGTGGAACTCATTTGCGTGGCGTCCAGGGAATCACTGCTTCTAATAGCATCACTCAGCTTGTAGAGAATGAAGCCACAATTTTACAGGACATCTGAGACGGACATGGTAGAGAGTCCAATAACATGATCTGCCTGAGTGATCGTCTGTGTCGCAGCCTTCAATTTTGTTCCTCTGCTTCTCACCGTCATCATCATCAATCAATTTATTGTATATTTCTTGTGTGATTACATTATCTTTCGATTCATCACATTTATGCCATTTCATGTTCTCATTGTTATATGGATCGACGAAGTTTTAGTCCTATGTTCTCATCTTCATCTAGAAGAAAAATTATACAAGCATGAGATTCCATACAAAGTATTTGATAGCAGCTTGGTGATGCTGATAAACAAAGGGGCTTCTGAGTTATGTCCTCTGCTTGAAACCAGGGCTGTGAACGGAAGGGTTGGAAACTGAGAATTATTCCGCTCGTTGCACTGAGTTTAGGGTTCATTTGGTGTCACTGAGTTGCCCGAGTCGTGCGAGTGAAAATCATTTGTGGCAGTGTTCTCTTGGTGGTGTGTTTGATGAAAGGGGGCACCACTCCTCCATCAGGAAAACATGTGTCATTTATCAGACGCTTATGGTCGGGCTCTGGATCCTTAGCTTTTCCGACGCGCCTGTTTATAAAATTATATAAAAAATTTACAATAAATATATACTGTTCTTAATATAAAATCTTGTTTGATTTTTATTTTAGTTCTAAACATAAAATCTCAAACAATTTTATCTCTTATATTTTTTTTTTTCAAGATAGTCCTTCTAACAATAATAATTCTAACTAATACACTTGATTAATAAAAATATTTTAAGAAAGACAATACCTATTTATTATAAATAATTAATTTAATTTTTTTTTTAATCTCTTTAAATTAGTCAACTAACTCTTATAGAGGATAATATTTTTCGGACTATGATATATAAGATGCTTTAATCAAAGTAAAAGCGCAATCAGATCAAAAAAAAAGTAAAAGCGCAAGATTTTGTGGCCCCTTTCCCAGGTATACCGGCAAGTTCTTGTCCATGTGTTTGAAATTGAGTCCAGTGCAATAAGATATTAAATTTAGGTAAAAAAATTTTTATATAGCGTAAGCTGTAACTATTTTTTTAAAAAAAAATGTAACACGTGAATGTTTTGATTAAAAAAATTAAAAAAATCAAACTAAACGCACTAATCTCGAGTTATATTACATATGAGCTAAACGACATTGTTGGGTAAGGAAAAAAAATGGTAAACGACATTCATAATTTAGTCGCGGCAAATGGAGGTGGCACCTTCGGCCAGTAAACTAGAGCCACTTTTCCAGCGGAAACTTGGCCATGCCTTGTCCACACAACCTTTCTCTGATGATGATAAGCCCCTTCACTTCCAAATCCACAAATCCAAACAAAACCCGGTTCAAGAGGATTCTCAAAGCATCAAACTATGGGGTTTAAATATTAAAAAAAAAAAAAAACCAGAAAATCTGTGGGAAATTGGGTAGCACCACCGGCGAAGAAAATGTCAGTGGCATCTTCAATCCCATGCATCAAAATCCCATCTTCTTCTTCCTCAACTTCCTCTTCATCTTCTTCTGCATCATCCTATTCCCTTCGATTTTCTACTTCTTCCAAGTATTATACTTTCGCCATCAGGAATTCTCAGACCGAAGGGCCTCTGAGAAGACCAGGGTCTCCTCCTTTGAGGGAACCCCTGAAACCCAACCCTCCATCTCCGCCGTCGCCGTCCCCGTCCCCGTCCCTGTCACCTGTGGCGCCCGCTCCTCCTCAGCAGAATGTGGCTGCTGTTGTTGCGGACGATAAGAATGTTGTTACATTAGAGTTTCAGAGGCAAAAGGCGAAGGAGCTTCAGGACTACTTCAAGCAGAAGAAGCTGGAAGAAGCAGATCAGGGCCCTGCTTTTGGATTCGTGGGGAAAAATGAGATCAACAATGGAAGGTAAAGCTTTGATTTTTTTTTTTGGAGACAATGAATTTCGAGCTTTTCTTTATGTTGGTACAACTGCTTGAATGATGAGCTGTTCGTCAGAATATGGATGGATTTAAAGCGGAACGAATTTCTATAGTGGCTGAGGAGGTTTTATGGGATACTTGCTTAAATATTCGTCGCCTTATTTTCTTTTCTCTCCGATAAGAATTTGCTTGGTTGATATATGTCCCAAGCAGTAGCAGCCTTGGACTTGATTAGCTGAATTTCTAGTCTAAGATTAGGAGCAGGAAATGTAGATGACCATGAATATGACTCAGAAGCTAAATCTTTGTGAAACTTTCTGGTGTTCTAGTCACGGTCATGCCTGGTTTATAGCGAGGTCTGTTTTATTCCCGCTTGCCATTCCTTTCCTACATTGTTATTGATTGGATATGTTTTATAGATGTACGATTATTTTATGCTTTTCATTCCTTTTATTCTTGTTTTATTGTGATAAACTTTGATTCTGTAAAATTTATTACGAGACTATCAACTTTTTCGCTTCATTTTCTTCCTCTAAAACAATTGTAGAAGTCACTGAAAGCTATTCTCCAAGACTATTTTAAAGTTTTCTAGCCTACTTTTAGAATTTCAGTTTGTCACCACTTTGTAACATTGGTTAAATCCAATTTAGTGGAATTTCAATTGGACATCAGATACAAAAATATAGATAGGAAACGTTAGAACAAATTATAGCAGCCAAATGGAGGGTAACCGTGTAGAAAACTGAATCTAACTATTAAGCTTTTTGCTTTTGGGTGGCTGTCTAAAGGGGCAGATGAGCTACTGTATTCTTTTAGCATTTTCAAGTTTTCTCCTCGTGCAGTAGGGAAACACGTTGTAAGCTTTGCTTCCTTGCAAAGTTGGGCTAACTTGTTTGATTCTTCCCGGGCTAGCATTGCTCCAACTCTTAAGTGTTAATGACGTTATCAAACTTCCTCTCACCTCAACTTTTCAAGAGAGGGAGAGTGAGATGACTTGGTTTACTCTCAAAGGGACTGATTCGCTGACCACTTTTAAGCACTTCATAGAACGACAATGGGAATTTCACTACAATTAGATTTTATGACTAAGGTCAGTCTTAAGCTTGGCACGTGCTTACACTAATCTTACATGTGTTTCTTGTCAAAGTGTGATTTTCAAAGGACATCTACGGAAATCTTATATTTATTGCCTGGGAGATGGACTTGTTGAGTATTGTCAAGCGGAAGCGCGCCAATTTCTTTATCTGCTTGACCACACTTAGTGGAGGCATCTGCACTTAGTTTTTGCCTCTTTCTGGATGAAGCATCCATTGCTAATTATGGCAAACTTAAGAAATGACACTCATTATCAATTATAACTAGCTTAGAGGAAGTTCCTGCTTATGGTATGATTCGCATGATGCTTTTCTCCTTGACCAGTGGAAGCGTCTCTTCTTGATCAGCGGGGACACGTTCTCCTGGTCAATGGAGGCACCTCCTCTTAATTAGTATAGACACCTCAATAATGAGCTGGAAGCTTTGCTTCTTATAAGAGAGCTGTCTTTCTTCAATAATTAATTTATAATTAAATTGTTGTGGCTTTTTATTTGATTAAATAGATATAAACTAATCAATACAAAACTAGAATTTTATATGCGTACGTCCTTATCCTTAAAGCTTTCTTCAACCACAGTGAGGAAATACTCTTCAAGGTAGACCTTACCTAATTCATGAATAAATGATAGGCTGACTTAATGTTCATTCGATGGTCATTGCAGTTAGTGAAAATGAACATTGAGTGAAGTAATCTGAAAATAGCGTCGACATGTGGGAAAATATGGGTGTAGGATCAAGTGAACAGTTAAGATTGATTTGACTGCATCATCCACATTCAGGCATATTTATTTTTGTCGATCCAAATCCTAAGGTCTCGTGGTGTTGTCACAAGCGTGGAGGGTTCAATACTGTTTGGACACTAACGGAGACCAAGCTGGTAACAATGATGTATGGTCTCACTTTTAAGTGGGTTGGTTTTCTTATTTTAATAATGAGCTTTTTGAGGGAGAGCCCTTTGCCTACTTAGATGCTCGTGAGACACGGGCATGGCTTCCTTTTTAATTTTGAAGTGGCCTTGCTCCATAGGATGCAATTGTTTAGACAGTCATTAGATGGTCGCAACTGGTTAGTTGTATGCATCGTTCTGGCGTGCACACGCAAAACTGAAGAAACATCTCCCACCCTCCTTGTGCTTAATATCATCTACTCTTTTGATACGATGCTTCTTATACATTCATGTGTTTCTGTTGGGTATCCTTTCATCCTTTGGTATTCATGTGACTTGTTTAATTTGGCCTGTGTATTTGGAATTTGGTTGATGCAGATGGGCCATGTTCGGTTTTGCCGTTGGGATGCTAACAGAGTATGCAACAGGTTCGGACTTTGTTGATCAAGTAAAGATCCTTCTTTCGAATTTTGGGATCGTAGATTTGGAATGAACAATTTTAATGTTTAATGTTGTTGATAGTTTCGACCTTTATTCGTAATATATTTCTGTGGTTTGTTACTCCCATTTATAGCAAGCAACCAAGTTGCCTGGAATGATAACATTGAGGATTTCCTTCTTTCATTTTGCTCTACTCTTACCCGTATAGACAGAGATGTATACGGCATTTGGTGAGCAGAGCAGATATTCTCTGTTCATGCATTCGACCAAATTATGACACAAAAAAATGTGACTGTGTATAAAGTCTACCTTCCATAATTATATTTATTTATTCTTCAAACCTTTTCCCAAGACAGAACTATAGAGGTTTAGATCTGGTCTGTCGATATTTTGCAGTTTTTATCCAAGATATAAACTGATATGTTAATGAAGAATACGAACTCTTGTTTGCCATGCCCGAAAGATGTTTTCTTATTATAAATGTTTTGAACTAGTTGAAAAATTGAAGGGAAAATCGCAAAAAAAAAAAAAAAACCATGGAATTAGAAAGATTACACACAGGACTGGTTCACAAAAATTGTTGTCAAAACTTATATTATTATTGTTAAAATCCATATTAATATTGTTATGGGTTTTAATTTGTAATTTTTTTAACTTCATGGTCTTGTTTTGTGATTTTCCCAAAATTATAAGGCTTTTTAATTAAAAAAAACATAATATTTAATTTGTTAATAAACGTGATAATATTACTTAAACAATGGAGCCATGACAAGTTAAAATATGTAACTTGCCAAACAAGTTTTATTAAGCTAGTTAATATACTACTATCTTAATATAAGAGTTAGAAATTTAATTTAGTCCTAAATATAAGATTTTAATTTATTTTGTTTTATATTTATTCATATATATATTTTTTAAAATAACCTCATTGATAATTGCATATGTTAAGGTTTACATCAAAGAATAGTTCTAATGAACATAATTAATAAGAGTATTTTAAAAAAGATAATATATATTTATTATAAATAATTAATTTAAGTAATTTTTTAAATATTTATAAATTAGTTCTCTAATTATTATATTAAGAATTGAAGATAGTCTTATTTATAGCGAAAACGAGTCCTATGTAAACTTGAAATAAGTCATATTGTTAATATTATCTTCAACCCTTAATATAAGACCTCGTTTGATTTTTATTTTGATCCTAAATATAAGACCCTAGTCTACTTTGTCTCTCATATTTATTCATTTTTTTAAAGTAGTTCTTCTAATAATGGTAGTTTTAACCAATACACTTGATTAACAAGAATATTTTAGGAAAGACAACACATATTTATTATAAATAACTAATTTAACTTATTTTTAATCTATTTAAATTATTCAACCATAATTAGGATAAGAGGTAGTAATTTTTTTACCTGACTACTATTGATAAAATATTATTCGTGTTACCATATTCGGAATTGAGAAACAACACGCATCATCTCAATTTTTGGGTGAAAAAAGGCATCTAATTATAACGATAATTTAAAAGCCAGAAGCCTTTGTCAGAGACGATCACGTGTGCTCCACGTGTCGATACCGTACGGAAAGCCGACATTGTTTACTTTCTGTTTACTCTGGCTCTGTCTGTTCATGTTCAATTGTCCGTTTGTTTTCCCGCCCCGAAAGTTCGCGCCTTTCAATTTCCCAAAAACTGTACACACTCACGTTTTCAACGGAGCAATCGAAGAAAAGAAGCGCTCACCAAAATTCGGGAAAAAGGTCACACAGTACTTGTTTACTCACAGCAAGATTCCAAAAGTGCCGGCCATGAGCGGCCTCCAGAATCCGACACATTCTTCTCCTATCCTTTTCGTTCTCTCACATCCCAGCAATAGCCCTTCAGCTTCTTGGCCGTCTGCTTCCGTTTCTTCATCACTGTTACTCGGGCATGTCACTTCCTGTACACATCGTTACAAATGGGATCATACTGATGCTGAGATCGGCACCCTAGAGAGTTATGGGCTGCGTTCAGGCTAAGCCATCGGGGGGTTCGGAAGCTAAGGGCCTAGAGAGGCTGAAACTAGAGAATGGGTATGTTGGAAATGGGGATTTCGCTGCTCATCGACGATCGATGGGCCAGATATATGGCGAATGTGAAGATATTGGTAGGGTGCACCAGCGCGAAATCAGAAAGCATCGGCTTGGGTCTGGTATTGGGAACGAAGAAAGGGAAGGTAGCAGCAACCGCTGGATGGGAGAGGGGAAGAGAAATGCTGTGCATGATGGTGAGAAAATACCAAGGAAATCTTTTGACGATGAGATGGTTGACGGGTGGCCCAGATGGTTAGTTGATAATGTTCCTCGAGAAGTTTTGGCTGGCTTGGTTCCCCGGAGTGCTGAGTCATACGTAATGCTTGACAAGGTCTTTGTTTGGGTTTTGTCATGTTCCGGATTAGATAAAGCTGAATGATGAAGGGTTATGCAAAATGATGTAGCATTCTTTACACATCCAACGTTATTGCTCCTACATCTTAACTAAGTACTAGCCTATTACTATGCCGCATCATTTTGGGATTCTTTGGAGCATTCTTTCAAATGTGGCGTCATTTTGGGTACTAGTTAGATGTTTGGCTGCTTGAATCATTAAGAGTCTTGAAGTCATCAATGTTTGAGTTTGGATCAAAAATTTGATTGAAGAGGATTTCTATTTATTAATTACCTGATTGAGTGAGATATAAACTGAAAACAATTAATGTGATTAAAAAGTTCGAGCATGGGTTGTGATTTGTAGGTTCATAGGTTTTTCATCGCTGACGATGGTAGAAAGCACGTTAATTGACTGGGCCCATGTGTAAAATTTTCTGTTTTTCAGGTAGGACAAGGAACCTACAGCAATGTTTATAAAGCACGAGATCGGGCCACGAGGGAACTTGTGGCCCTTAAGAAGGTTCGCTTTGATAAATCCCAGCCGGAGAGCATTAAATTTATGGCAAGGGAAATTGCGATACTACAGATATTGGATCATCCTAATGTCATAAAACTTAAAGGATTGGCTACATCAAGAATGCAATATAGTATTTATCTTGTTTTTGATTTCATGCAATCAGACTTGGCTAGAATAATATCTCGTCCTGAAGAACGACTCACTGAACCACAGGTTAATTAAAATTTTCTCATTGGCGCCTTTGACAATTTTAGCATTTCCCATAATTTACCATAATAATCTGGAAAAATTGATGTAGGTCAAGTGCTATATGCATCAATTGCTTTCAGGTCTGCAGCATTGCCACGACAGGGGCATCTTGCACCGAGATATCAAGGGGTCAAATCTCTTGATTGATAAAAATGGAATGCTCAAGATTGCTGATTTTGGGCTTGCCAATTTTTATAACCTAAACCATAACCAGTATCTCACCAACCGGGTTGTGACGCTTTGGTACAGAGCTCCTGAGCTATTGTTAGGTGCCACGAATTATGGAGTTGGTATTGATTTGTGGAGTGCTGGATGCCTCTTGGCAGAAATGTTTATGGGAATTCCAATCATGCCAGGAAGAACAGAGGTGATAATGCCCATATGATCTGCCAAAATCCTTTTTAATTAAATTCCATCTTTAGCTTTTGGTCTATTTTTGTGTCTATGTTGTGTTGTCTGGTCATCTTCTATTATTTCGTTCTGCAAGTCATTTAAGTTTCTCTGCTTTCAGGTTGAGCAACTTCATAGAATTTTCAGGCTATGTGGCACGCCATCAGAGGAGTACTGGAAAAAATTGAATCTTCCCACAACATTTAGACCTCCGAAGACTTACAGACCCAGCCTAGCAGAATCTTTTAGGGATCTCCCTCCATCTTCTGTGGGCCTTGTGTGTACTCTGCTCACATTGGATCCTGCATACCGTGGCACTGCATCTAAAGCTCTTCAAAATCAGGTGAGTCAATCCGGGCGAGAAATCCTGATAAGTAGTTGTGATCTCCGCACCTAAAAATGCGTGCTTCGTATTTCTTTACTGAAAGATTAGATGTTCAGTTGAATTGCGCATTGAATGAATTACTCTCTCCTCTACTGAGGGATGCTCAAAACCCAGTTCTTCCCCTGTTTTGAAAATATGCACCCGTTTCCCTTGTTGCACTGACATTTTCTCTGACAAATGATGAGAGCTTATTTTGACTGAAATACCCTGATTTTAAAAATAGATGGGAGGTTTGTGTGATTTTTCATGATTCAAGGTATTTTTTTTAATTTACTCTTAATTAAGATTGATCTTGATTGAAGAAACTTTTATCTTAAGTACTGCCTCACAACTAATATCAAATTATTACAACTGCACTGAATTTCATCTATCGAAATCCCAATGAAAAAGTAGGATATAATTGAATGTGTAACTTATTCGGATTTCCAACATAGATGTACCTTCTGCCTGCAGTTTTTCTTTACAAGCCCATTGGCACGTGATCTCTCTGGTCTGCCTGTAAGCTACACGGAACATGATGGGCAAAATCTTACCAATGAAGAGATCGAGTAAGTCGTTTTTTGGTACTCAGTGTTCTGAGGTTAGTTTCAGTCAACTTATAGATGCACAAACTCGCTACATGTAGAAGGCAGTACCCTGTATTGTTTTTGTACCTAACAAGTGAGGTTAAGCCGACTCTGGTATGCGTTTATAACATGAGACTTCTTTTCTTAAATAATACTACCTTCTGTCCTTAATATAAGATCCTATTTGACTTTTATTTTGATCCTAAATATAAGACCCCGATCCATTTTGTCTCTCATATTTATACATTTTTTTCAAAGTAGCCCTTCTAACAATGATAGTCCTGATCAATACACTTGACTAATAAGGATATTTTAGGAAAAAACAATACCTATTTAGGACAAATAACTAACTCAACTTACTTTCTTAATTTCCTCAAATTAATCAATTGGCTTTTATAATTAGGACTGGAGATAGTATATGTAGGCATGAGCAGTTAGCAAGATAAGGCTTGTTGTAATACTTGCAGGAATGTGAATGCTAAATTAAGACGATCTCATACCCGTCATGAGAGGCGAAGGAAGAATGTGGCATCCGGCTGGCCAACAGAGCATACTGTATCTTCTAAAGAGGTGAAAATCCTCCAAGCCTTCTGCTCTGTTCATAGTATATGTATTTATTTATGTATTCCTGTTGTTGTTCTACGCATGTCTCCTTGTTGTAGAACTAAAAGTAAAATTTTGAAGATTCAAGAATTTTCTGGGAGCAACTCAATAATCTGATTTATGAAGTTCAATAAGAGGAAACATGCATGACTAGGCAGTCCATTTGTAAGCTTGTAGGCTGCAACTAGTTAAACCCTAAACTCTAAACACCCAAAATACAGCTCAGCCGGCCAACCTCAAACAAAATGCTGATGATAAACCTCAACTAAGAATTAAACTAAAAAAGCAACTGCGTTACTCATGCTAATGACATGCAAACCACTGATATG